TTTTAGTTAGATATTATCTCGTCATCATCATCGTCATCGTCGTCGTCGTCATCATCATCGTTGTCGGTTACAAAGACATCACCATCATTACCATCGTTATGAAGATCATCTTCATCTTCATCATCACCACCATCATCTTCATCATCATCTTCATCATTTTCATCATTACCACCATCATCATCATTTTCGTCATCACCATCATCATCACCATCATCATCAGCATGACCATCTCTCCTCTTTAGCCAGACAAACACGGCATTCAAACTTCCATCACTTTAAATTAATTAATTACTAATTTTAAAAAAAGAACTAACTGCCAGTTACGAGTGAGTCTCTCTAGCAAAACTTTTTCAAATGTTTTTTTTTTAATACAAAGTAAAAATAAAAACCCAAAACAACAAAATAAATCCTGCATGTTGATGGCTGACCCTTCCACTGTATAAAAAACTAAGCAGAGGTCAGATTTAAAGGAACGAAATTTTATTGTGAATTCAAACAAAGATTCTTTTTAGCCCATCTTAGCCCACTGAAAGAAAAATTCTTGTTTTTGCCCAAGATGCCAACAATTCCAACACCCAAACTAACCAACCCACACACACACACCCACACACACCACACACCCACACGCCTGAAAAATACACACGAATTCACACATTCACGCTAAATTTTGTTAAAAATATATTTTCGCTTCTGTGGAAAAACCCTTTCTATATTGAGGTTACAATATCATTCTTGTGTAAACTTTTTTTAGGGGCTCTGGACTGTCCTGTCTTAGATCCACCCGTGACTAGAGCACCTATGGAAATCTATTTTTTACAAAAGCCTTTCTAGGTGCAGTGATGTCCGAAACACAGTTTTAGCGGTTTTAGTAAGGTAACATTGATTTATATGCACGTAGAATGCACGCACATGACTTTTGATTTATTAAATTCTGGTGTTTTTTTTTAGTTTTCCCAGGTTTAATTTTTCATAAATTTTTTTGAATTATAAAAAAATTCAGAGATGCCAATAACAACGTCATCAACAACAACATCACCAACAACATCACCAACAACAATAAAAGTTAAAAAGTTAAACTTAATACAGAGAGAGAAGTGAAGAGTTGTATATCAATTTATATCTTAATAACTAATCATTTTATGGAAAAGTTCAAAACCAGTGACGGTATTGTTGGCGTTGGCTCAGGTTAAGTTACAGAACTTAGACACCTAGCGAAGCTTTCTGTTAAAATTAGGGTGAGTGTCGCTGTAATGTTGTGAGTATTTCATTTCACAAATACACACACATACACACACACATTTGAAAAATACACACGAATACACACACACACACACAAACGAATACGCAACTCACCACATGTTTGTGTTTGCTTTTGTTCAGTCATACCATCCTCAAATATTATCATGTATTGATCAACTTATATAAAAAAAAATTGTAATTGTAAAAAAACTTTAACTAGAACTACCTAGATGACATTTTGCAAAGAAAAATGTATAAATATATATTCATAATAAAATGTAGAGTTGATTATGTAATCAAGATACCTAATTTTCAAGCATTTGAAAAAAAATTAATAAATTATAATTTAAAAGTTGTAGAAATGCGTTTATATGAGGGCCTCATTGCCTTATCGTGTTTCAATCTTCTGGTTTGTTTAGCTACTGCGACTGTTGAAGATGATGACGACATGTTTGCAAGTAGTTAGTTCATAAATGTTAAAAGTAATGACTTGAAAGGAAGGCTTCTAACCAGTTTCTACTAATTTTAAATAGTTTATTAACGCTGCAGTTGGTTTTATTGAATAATAATAAGTCACGAACCTGCAAAATTTTTTTTTCTAGGTAACTCTTACAGCCTAACGAATTGTTTTTAAAAAAGTAAAATAAAAAAATTTATTGAATAATAATAAGACTTTGCAAATTGTAAAGATCTTGATAGATAACAAATCATGAAATAAGATAAAAATGAAAAATTATTTTCATTAAAACTTCAATTTCAATTAATTCTCCACCAGACTATCTTGCCGTAAGTAAATAAAAAACAAAGAAATACCACAGATGGCCCGGACAATCAGACCATTGATCTACTCGTCGTGACTGACTACTCCATGTTCAAAAAATAAGTTACGATAGAAATATTTTACAAATTTTTTTATGAAGTTTAAAACGTAATTATTTTCTCTCAAAGCACTTTTTCAGAGGTAAGACGACACATTCACCACACACGCACCACACACGCACACACACACACGCGCACCCACCACACACACACGCACACACACACACGCACACACACACACGCACACACACACACGCACGCATACACATAGCGTGAAAATCGCAGAAACTACACAAGTCGCATTTGATAGACTGGTACTGATACATTCAAATCCGATCATCGCAAAGCAGAACCTGGCATCATTTACAACTATTCTAACATGTTTAATTATTTTTATTAGTTCTAAAGTTGAATCCGCAGCTTAATGCGTCAAAAAATTGTCATGGTTTAATTCATTTTCTCAAAAACAACTGGTTGATAAAAAGTGGAAAGGACTACGATAAGGCTCTCTCAAGTTTGAATGAACATTTCACTAAAATAACCAAAAAAGTTTGTTATTTTCGTTACTGATGTTTAAAATGTTTTTATTTGCTAAACTATTCAATATTCAGCTTAAACGTAGTAATTTTATTGATCAATATCGGTTAAGAATCAATTGTTTTATAGTAGTTGCAAAAAATAATCTAGATTTTAGCTCCTTTTATCTATTTGATTATTTTTGTCACTAGACTTCAAAACATTGCTGATTGAGATTACTAACTAATAAAGTGGGTTTTTATTTACTAAATTGACGTTAAATAAAAGAGAAATAAATTTTTGCATTTTTCAATCTTTTTATTTGTTCTCAACTTAGAAAATAAATGCTGATACGTTTGGTTTTTCGTCTATGAAATGTTCGTCACACTGAAAATAAATGATCATTATTTTTTTTTTGTGCCGTAGAAATTGTAGTTAAATTGAAAATCGTTTGATTTTTCAAATCTTGAAATTGTATTTAATTGAAAATGAATGATCGTCTGAGTTTTTTTTATCTTATAAGTTGCATAAACTCAAAAAAAAAATAACCACACTTTGTGTTTTTTCATTCATTAAATTGTAATCAATTAAAAATGAATGATCAATATGTTTATATATTTTTCAAATTGTTGTTAAATTAAAGACAAATGAATACATGATAGGTGAAAAGCAATTTTGAGGCAATCACAAACTCCAAATATGGCTACAGGTATATGGTCAGATTGGTTGCAGTCACGTAATTACGGTAAATATTTTTTGAAATATCATTTTGATATTTTTTTGGAAAATAATTATGCTATTTTTTAAAAATAATATTATGTAATTAAACTTCTTTCTATAATCTAGTACAAGGGTGGGCAAACTTTTTGCAGTGAGGGCCGCATTGAGACTATTTTATGTTTGAAGGGCCGCTTATGTATTTATGTAGCAAATTTGCTCGATCCAGGGGAAGTTTTTTTTGAAATTTGTGTCTTTTTTTGGTCGTAATGTCTGGTGACGACCAATTTGTAACGTTAATTATTGATATTCATTCAATTCATTTCAATGAAAAACGCCTTTTTTTAGTGAAACAAACAACCAGGAAAAAAAACAGAATAAATTAATTTGCTATATAAATCTTTTTTGAACCATTTGTAACAGTTGGGAGAGGAATCAGACAAGGGCATCTGCTCTCAGATACATTGTTGGAATGGCGAGAAGTGTGTAACTGGCATTAAATACGAAGCGTTCGAGGGAACTTCGTGTGGAAATAAGAAATGGTGCGACAACAAGGAATGTTTCAACGACGAGAATGCACCTGAGAACAAAAGTTAGTTAAGAGTGCCTTTTTTGTTTCAATTGCCAAGTTTTGCATCTCCGGGGTCACTTTCAAGCCGCATTTCTTACTAATATTGACTGTTTTTGCTTTAAAATCATTTGTTCTTTTTTGGAATACTCATGCTGAGACGACTTTTTGCTTAAATGAAAAAAATATCGTTAAACTGATCAATATAATGCTATTAACGAATTATCTATGAATCATTTAAAAATTATGTCAAATTAATTGTTAAACTCTAATTAAAATAAATGAAACACTGATTTAAAAAAATACTTCAAAGTAATTTTGAAAAGAGAAAAATTATGTTCCTCAGATAAATGTCTATTTGGAGATTACGACGAAACTATGGAGATGTTTGGCGTGAAGAGTATTGCAAGTGCTCAGATATAAAGGATAAAAACGCCCAGTGCATGGATGAAGAAGTTAACAGTTGTCAAACATGTGAAGGAATCCAATTGAAATAATCTCAATACTGATTTCATTATTTCTTATATAAGTCATTTCACTCAAATACTTTGTTTCAAAATTTGAAATTTTACAATTTATTTTTATCAAAATTAAAAAAAAATAAGTTATGTTTATCGTGAAATTATTTTTCGCTGAAAAGTTTTCTAAAAAAATTTAGTAAAGCAACGTTAAACTTGAGTCAATTTAGCAAAAAAAAAATCGCTAAACTGGGCCATAAAATCTTAACTTGAAAACCCTTAAATGACTCGCAAAAAAATTTCTTAAATAGAAATGTTGATTCAGAAATTCGAATTTCGACTTTTAGAGCCCATTAACCCATAAATCCCCCTGTTAAAACATCGTTTAAGTGGGTTACTGTTTATTTTCACGCCAAGTTAGCATTGATTTTTTCATGAAAATATTTCCACCATTTATAAAACTGACACCAGATTCGTACAACGGGGGTAGGTTAGTGATCTGCGAAACTGTTTACCGTAACCAATCAAGTGATAAATATGTTTGTTGTATGTGTATGTACGTGTGTGCGTATGCGTGTTGTGTTCGTGCATTTGTGTATACACTTATACATATATTCTATTTTTTGTATAAATGTAAGAATGTTGTATGTTTGAATATTGCTTTGAAGTTTATTTTTTTAATATATATTTAACCGTCTTTCTGTTAATTTTTTTGGAAAATTCAGTCAGAATTGAAATTTTTAAAAACCCCATTGCATCTAAACACTTTAAAGAACATACAACAAAAAATAATAAAGATGGATTTTCTCACCAACTACTTTATTATCTCATTTTCAGTGATGTCACTCAAATTCCGGGAAATCCATCCTTCGAATCAGTTCAAGTTAAAAAGAATCAGCAGTGACTTACTTGTTGGGAATGCAAAAAATGGAGCTTGCTTCGACGAGTTCGTTAGTGGAGTTGTGAAGCTGAAAGCGGATTCCCATCTACAATGTGTCAACAAATGCCTGGTAAGTTTTCCAATCCTTTTTACTTCACCTTTTTTTGCGAATTAAGCATAGAGACTTAGGTCTTAACATCTTGCCTGTATTTTTTTCAAGATTAATAATTCGATTGTCAAGTTGCCTGGCACTGTTGGGTTCATTATGTTTTAACCTACAAATAGGTTGCTACAGACATGAATCTAAAAGGAGTCAACTACATGACGTCAGTAGGATCTTGTTCATGTCTTCCAAATATGAACGTTCTATACATTTTAACCACAGATCTGACTGGAGGGTGTTTGGCTTTCGTCAACAATTGTTAGATCATTATTTTTTTACAATTTTAGTTTAGTTTCCCTGAAGTAAGTATCAACTACAATCAAAGTGTTTATGCAAATACGGATAAATTAATGAATAACCATTACATTTAACCACGTTAGCAATTCGGTATTGATACTTTCCTTATAGATTGTCCACCAGAATTTGATTACATCCCGAAGTACAACAAGTGTTACAGCTTCCGAGGAAAAGGGATGACGTGGAATGAATCTCGAACGCTGTGCAACACCGTCTTCAATTTCCATTCGGTTATATGCGATGATCCCAACGAGAAACTGGCCATTGCAAGTTATTCTCTAAGCAAATGTGACTACATTTTTTTTCTAGTTCAAAATTTGAGTCTTTGTATAAAAATTAATGATAAATTAAAAACATCCCAATGAATTATTTTAATGTTGTAATTTATAAATACAAACATAGTCAAAAATATTCCATATGATGACTAACTAATATACACATGAATTAAATACCCACAACAAGCCTAATCAGTATGCATAAATACGTCACAGCTAATGAATATTCACGAACAATCACGTCACACCTAATAAATATTCACAAGTAATCATCTAATTAATACTTAATTAATATTCAAAACCCACTGCAGGTCTTCGTGCTAGCGGTTCAACCTACGCGTGGGAACCGTATATAGGTGAGAGTAATTAATGTCTTAATGTTTGGATTAAAACTTTTCACCAAAAAATAGTTTTTTGAACAACTTCATCAAACATAGATTAATATATTATGATATTGTATAATTTTTCAATTGCCAACAGTAGCACAGCCAAAAATTTCTTTGTAGTTTTGCACAGATTTTAAAAACTTACGACCCAATTCGTAAAAATTTGTTGATGGCTGAACAGTTTGAGATCTAAATTTTTTTAACGTTTCAAAATACGACCTTGACAAAATTGGATTAAAATCTCTTTAACTCGGCTACCCTTTTGTTAGAGAGTTGATAACAATTTATTTCTATGTATAATTTTAATCAGTTTTTTTTATTATTGATTGCTACTGATACGTTTCGGGAGTTACGCCATTTGGTTAATGAATCAAAACAGGTGAAAGGAGTGCAATGAAATATTCATTCTGGCTGGACGATTACCCTAAATATCCAAGGTCTGGTTTTGACTGCATTCAAGCTCTATACCCATCGTATGATTGGTTTAATTGGGATTGTTCCTCTAGTGACTCTGTGTTATGTGAGATTGACATGTTCTGATGTTTTTTGGTGATTTGTACTACAACTTGGATGATAAACATGTAGAGATTTAGCTTTATTTGGCAAAACAGTAAAATTAAATTTGTGTTTGGTGTTGTAAAATTTTTTGTGAATTCACTTCCAAGTCATGTAAAAAGGCGTCAATGTTTAATTGCCTAGATTGAATGAGGCAATTATCATGTTATTATTGATTGCTTTATGAAAAGTTATGTGTGTTACAAAGTAAAACTCAATTTGCGTTTCTGTTTTGACTTATAATACATAATATAAAAATATATTACATTTTTTAAGTTATAATAATAGATTACAAACAATTTCTCGATACATTAAAATCAAACCCAATAAAATAAAAAACAAAGGCCCATAATGTAAAAATGAAATTACATGAAAAAATAATTTCAGTCAGAAATTTTCAATTGATGAGAGATTCACTTTCGCACGACTTGTCAATCAATTTGTTTGGTTGCTTGTGATTTCTTTATAGTGGTCCAATAAATTCATTATTGGTTTAATTTTTGAAGAATGATTTATTTGCTAAAATTAAAAATAAAATATTGGAATAACGTTAAACCAACCTGTTTTAACAAAGCCTTTCAGCCGCAAATATTTTGAAATTTAGTATTCGGAAAAGCTAAATTTTTAATATTTTGTTGGCAAAACACATTAGTGATAAAAAAAATTTAAAAAATAAATAATAAAATGAAATAATATTTGCTTTGGAAAATTCAGAAATAGATAAATCTGTAATAAAACAATCGCGTGACACGTTAAGATGTGACAATAATTATATCCGGAAACCACCAACAATTCAGTTCGATTTTTTGTTATTTTGTGACATCTTCAAACAAAACTGGTACGTTTCTTCGCGATTCAATGCAACTTCATAGAGCTCGCATGCCTTTCAATGCTTAAAAATACCAGTAGCACACATATTTTTATTTATAAAGAGTCTGAAGAATATTTCTAGAACTTTAAAAATAGCATGTTGCATGTGTTTGAGGTCTTTTTAACTCGGTTTGCACGTGTGTTTTAGTGTGCAATTTTGAATTTACACATTTTTTATTTCGATGTTTGATTCTTTTGGGTGTTATAATTTAGTTTTTTGTTTGAGTTTTTTTTATAATTTTACAATTAATTGTTTAGACAAAAAGAAAAACTTGAATATAAATCAAAGGTAAACACCTGTATATGCATACATACAAACACATATACACACATCCAGCTTCTAGTATAAAAATATGAATTGAATATAAACCAAACATTCTGGGATCCATTAAACGCTTTTTTTTAAAGTTGACAACATGTTTCTCGTAAGAATGAACACAAACGTGTATCTTCTGGTGTTTGTAAGTTTATTTCGTTATTCCATTCAACTGGGACAAACAAGTGGAAAACTGTTTAGTAGAGTTTACAAGCATAATTTTCTTGATGGCTCCACGATTGAAGCTTGTTTTGATGAATCTTTCATTGGTGGTGTTTTAAGATTGGAAGCGAAATCCCTCCCTGTCTGCATTAATACATGCTTGGTAGTTTGAAATTTCTTTCTTTAATAAATTTAGTTCTTCTCTAGTTATTTGAGAACTTTTTGGCATGTCACTTAATTAATTCGATCAGAATCTTTTACAGTTCATAAAGTTATACAAAAATTGTTTTTTAATATCTAAAGTTGAGTTGTTTTAGCCGAGGTTTAGTAGATTATTTTGGATAATTTTACAAGCTGAATAAGTGCGTGTCATCTAAATACTTAGATCGTCACTAATATGAACTTGAGAGGCATTAACTACATGGCGTCAGTGGGATCTTGTTCATGTCTTCCAAATATGGACGCTCTTTACATTTTAACCACTGATCTGACTGGAGGATGTCTGGCTTTTGTCACTCACGGTTAGATCAATGTAGACAATGTGTTGTGTTAACATAATCATGTTTACATTACATGCGATGTGTGGTTGTTGTTGATGATATCGATGAAAAATTAGCTGGCGTTTGAATAATCTTTTTACAACATGTCATAGGCTGCTTTCCAAGCTTTGATTACATTGTCGAGTACCATAAATGCTACAGATGTAAGTTTACGAGCGCCATCTGGCCTCAAGCCAGGGAAACCTGCAACCGTCTACAGAGTTCTCACCTCGTTGTCATCGATGATTCTAGAGAACAGTATGCCGTCTCTGTCTACTTGCAACCGTATAAATATTCAAAAAGTGAAAAACTGTTTCATTTATTCAACATAGCTTTTTAACAACTTATGGCTAACAACAATTCAACAACATAGATAACCTATTCTGGACCGCTGGGACTCGACCGGCTGTTGACGACCCAAACGCGTTTTTTTGGGAGCCCTATCCAGGTAACTTTTAACAATTATTTCTTTTAAAAATCTTAATCTCAAAAAAATCTCTTCACGATAAAATCCTTTTTTTTCTGCATTTCCAAAAACAATGAAGCATCAAAACAAATGATAAATTAGGCTTTATTTTTACACTTCTGACGTTTTCATTGGCGATGTTAACGCCGTATTTTCATTTCCCGCACTTAATCCAATTTCACATTTGGTCCCGAATGTTAAAATTGTCGAATAATTTTAAATCAGGTTTAGTCAGAATCGAGTGTGGTTGAGATTAGGTAAAAAAGCAAACCAAATTTCAAACAACGTTTACCTTAAAACTCATTAAGGGCAGAACAGAACCATCGTGAATTACAACTGGGATGCCCTGCCATCGGTCGCTTCGGGGCTTACAGATCCGGCTAAAAACTGCATAGCGTACAACTCACAAAGTGCCACATGGTTCAACAATCATTGCAGTAGTGCGTTTTTAATCTTGTGTGAAATCGACATGGAAATTTAAATTGTCTGAGTTGTTGTTTAAAAAGCTGACAAATTTATTAGGTGAAAATGATTTTATGACTGTTTCAAAGATTTAGAGTTGTTTTCCTCAAATGTAATGACTGAATGTGAATAAAATTAACGAATGAAGCTAAAATGTTGGTGATTTAATTAATGATAAAAATAAGAATTTTGCTTTTGGTGATGGTGTTGGTTCCATATTTGTTAGATTGATCGCTAAATGGACAAATGAAATCAAGCTTATTAGGTAATAAGATTGATTCTATTGTAACTTGTTTTTATTAATAATTCGCATTGTTAATAAAAAAGTTTTAATTTTTTTCTAACTTTCTTCTATTTAGATGAACAATTTTCATTTAAACTACATTTATGTGATTTCCATTCAACTGTTGTTTCCATTTGAGGAATTTGAGTATACTATATATGTATATATATATATATATATATATATATATATATATATATAGATATTGTCCCATGATATTGTTCTTTTCAATTACTAAGTAACTAAAATGAAATGATCTTTCATTCAACAGCAATTAAAAATATACGGGAGATAATTAGATAACATGCAAAGTTCATCCAGCCCGACATGTGACATAACGATTATATTGTTTTATATCATATTTTGCTATTCAAGTTTAGAAAAATAGAAACCACAAAAAAAACACAGACACTAGGAATAATATATAATTTACATTTCACCATTTTTAAATTGAAAATAAACAATTAGAAATTAATTAATTATATAAATAACTAAAATATAGAGTAAAATTGTAAACATTATCTTTGAAAGTTTTGTCTGAAAACTCGAAATAAATTTACAAATAAATATTTCACCAATTAATGTCGATTTCACACAGAGAAGATAGCAGTGTAGAGCAGTCGTTATCAAACATGCCATCAAGCCTGGATACATATTGAATGCAGTTTCTAAAATCAGCCGGTGGGTGTGGGCTATTTGGACCCCAAAAAAATTCGGCTATTGAAATCGTCACTCCTTGGATGTTTTGGTATTGTGAGGAAATCATAAAATAATAATCATTATTGCTGCTTATCGGTTTTATTGCGCTCAATTCGAAAGTATCAATGATATATATATACACACACACACACACACACACGAAAATACACATATGAGTTTTTTGTCGTTGAGTTTGGAGAGGATGTGATGGACATAATCGAGTAGAGCAAGTTCCGTTGAGTGGCTAGGGCGAAAACCATATTGGTTGTTGCAAATAATTTTATGTACTTCAAAGAAAGAAAATAGTCTGACATAAACTGCTTTTTCTAGTAATTTTGACAACGGAGACAGTAGAGAAATCGGCCTGTAGTTATTAATGTCGGCATTATCTCCTTTTTTAAATATGGGAATAACTTTCGAGGTTTTAAAGCAGTCCGGAAAAATTCCTGAACTAAGAGATAAGTTGAAAATATGTAGAAGGGGTACTGTTATATTGGATATTATGTTTTTTACAAGAAACATATTTAATCCATCATCTGAATAAGATTTCTTGTTTTTCAACTTGCCAGCTAATGTTAGCAGGTCGGAGCGAGTAATCGGATGGAAGCAGATAGAGTGAGAATTAGGCGGTGACATGTGGGACAAAGGATCTGTATCAACTGAAGGTAGGTTAGAAAGAAGTTCGTTGCTGATGTTTATGAAGTGTTCGTTAAAGTGTTTACATATTTCGAGTTTGTTTTGTACCTTATTGTTGTTGATGATGAGTTTTGATATTTGTGGAGAAGAATATCTAGTATTTAAAGCTTCTTTGATCAAGTTCCACTGTGATTTAGAATCATGAATTTTATCGAAGCGGTGAATGTAGAAATCACGCTCAGTCTTTCTTTTAATCCGGGTGAAGAAATTACGATACCTTTTATAAGCAGAAATGTTGCTCTGCGACGGAATTTTAAGGCTTTTGATGTAGAGTTTATGTTTAATTTTGGATAAATGGATGATGTGTTTGTTGACCCACGTTTTTTTATAAATATAATTGACTGGAAGCAGAGGGGAAACGGAGTCCAGAATATAGAANAGAATGGCATANAACGTAGAGCAGCATGTATTAATATTATCTTGAGTAGTGACAGATGACCAGTCTTGGACAGAAAGTTGGAGGTTGATTTTCCTAAGAGAATCAGGACAGAGATTTCTACGAGTTAATTGGAGCTGTTGGAATGGGGAAACAATAATTTGGACATAAAGCGAAAATAGGAAAATGGTCGGAAAAGTCATGTTAAAGAATACCAGAAATGTGATGAGATAGATTGCTTGTGAAGATATTGTCTATTATAGAAGAGGAAGAATGAGTCACTCTGGTAGGCTGAGATATAAGAGGAACAAAGTTGAAGGAAGCCAGTAAATCGGAAAAGGAAGCAACGAGTTTATCAGAGCAGGCCTTTGAGAGATCTAAGTTGAAATCGCCGACAAGGTAAACTTTAGAATTGGTTTTAAGACTAGATAAAGCGAGGTCAAGTTTTTGAATTAAATTGGAGGGGTCAGAGTTAGGTGGTCTATAGATAGCAAATACGATGACGTTGGATTTGTGAAATTTAATTTCAATACATAGACAATCGGCGACGTCGTCCGTTGATAGGGCATTGTCGAAAAGTGTATAATCTAGTCCCAATTTAAGAAATATCCCGACACCACCACCCTTTTTATTAGATCTGTTTTTGAATAAAAAATTATAATCTGGTAAATTGATTAAATTAACCGATTCGTCGTTTAACCATGTCTCAGAGATAACAATTACATTGAAATAATTACTTATAACATTGTTTAACAATAATAAATCGTTTACTTTGTTTAATAAACTACGACTATTTATATGTAGGATTGACAAGAGGTTATTAGATTTTAAATCATTATTATTTAACATATTCAAAAGATTATCAATTGAATAGTAAGGAGAAGAGAAAGTGAAAGAATCCAGTATGTTAAAGTCAGGGTCAATGTTTGAGTGAAATGTACTATGATCAATAACAGGAATTAATGAACACGAATTGTCATAATTTGGATTAGTTGACGATTGATTTGAAGAGGATTCAGCCATTGTTGATCGATGAGGTTTCTTCCGATTTTTTGGAGGTGAAATGCCATTCACGAATGATGACACCTTCGGGCATGTTATCAGGGTCTTGCATTTTAGTAGCATCAGCAGTGTTGACGCATACTCGAAACATTGTTGATTCGATGTCGTCGTTGTTTAGCGTTGTACCTGGAGGAACTGTTGAAAGTTTGCTGACTGGAAAGCACGATAATACATTAATACCAATATCAGACAAATATTCGACAACTTTACTTCTGCTGCATTTTTTAACGTTACTCATTGCGAATACCGATTTTTTTACTATGATTTTCTCGGCACAAAGTTTGTCGGTGGCGCATTTTTTTAGACCAATTATTTTATTAGGTTGATTTGGTGGATTTCCTTTAAGCGATGATTGATCGTTAGGGTTGACTTGGTTGGCAACCGGAGAGTTGTTTGTGCGAGCACTTTTTTTGTTTCGAACGACCACGCTGTATGGCAGAGGGTTGTCATCAGTCGGTGTCGTAATTTCGTCGGACCAAAACATGGCTGGTTTGGAGGTAACAGCTTGCTTGTTCATATCGGAGTTAACTGCTGACGGAACTGAGTTTATGTTCAGTTTCGAGGTATTTTTGTCTTTATTGTACGACAAACAGTTTATTTTGTTGTTAAGCGCCGACATATCATGTGTATGCACGTCTATTGTTTGCACTAATTTATTTTTCAAAGAAGTTATATCTTGCGTGTGCACGTCAAGTGTTTGTATGAGTTTGTTATGTTGAGTGTACAACATGTTTTTTAATTCATTTTTCAGAATTTCAAAGTTTATTTTGATGACATTTTCGAAGTTAGGAACATTAGATAAATTAACGCTGGCAAATATTGAGCACTTATCCATAAGTTTTTCCTCTTTCAAAAAAATAAGAATTTGTGTTAATACTAACAGTTTATCGCGCCTTGTGTTGCCACGTGAAGTAGGTTTTTCAAACTTTTCAATTTTAACATTTTCCAACTCTAATTTCAAAATTTTTTGAGCGTCAATAAAGTCCTCGTTGGAGAAAAATTCAGCAGTATTATTTATAAACGTCTCATTATCAAATAAGTCGAAGTTACCAACCAAAAAATATAGAACTTCGCTAATTACAACTGGTCTCGCCGCCATGACAATAAAAATCTATATATATATATATATATATATATATATATATATATATCTATATATATATAAAATCTATATATATATATATATATATATATATATATATATATATATATATATATATATATATATATATATATATATATATATATATATATATATATATATATATATATATATATATATATATATATATATATATATATATATATATATATATATATATATATATATATATATATATATATATATATATATATATATATATATATATATATATATATATATATATATATATATATATATATATATATGTTGGTAATAGACCATAATTTTTTACAATATTCTATAAATATAGAATATTGTAAAAATTATGGTCTATTACCAACATTTACTCGAAGTTCTGCGACCAACCGACGCAATCTAACAATCGAACAAGATCGCGAGCAGCGACTGCTCCATTTCTCTCGCGAATTAGAAGTTAAAAGAAAGGTAGTTCTAGATTTGTCATTCGGTAGAATTTATAGAATATTGTAAATATATATATATATATATGTATGTATATATGTATATATATATATATATACATACATGAGAATACACACAAACACCCACATTTACAAACTTTTTTAAAAACCTGTTCTATTAAAACTAAACACAGTTCCAGTGTTGTGGAATGGATGACCATGGCGATGATGACGCCAACTGACACGGTGGACTGTGCAGAACGGTGAGTCTAGAGATATTTTCCAAGGTAGCAAGACTGAATTTGCTAACGAATTCCTAAACTAACTATGCTTAGGTGACACTTTCATTGACATACACACATATACACACTACACACACACACACACACACATACACGTACTCTTGCGCGCACAAACGCACATACTTTTACACACAGGACAATATTGGTCTTTTGTTCTGTGAATTTTTTGATAAAGAAATTGTTTAATAGCGAAAAAGTGTTTGCTTGAGTTATCGGACCAGAGCACTGGTCTTCCACTTGAACTAATTTATACAATGAGAACTCGATTCAGTATTTATTTTTGTAAACTTCGTACCTCTTGTTTTTTTTTTGTTTTTGATGACGTAATAATGATAAAAAAAAACAATAAAATGTTTTGAAAATTTTGTTTACTTCGTTCCATGAGCGGTTGAACTTCTTTCCAAAACATTATATATCTAAACTAGACAAATGAATAAATTGATTTTGAAAATATAAATGGAGCGAGTTGTGCCTCATGGCTCTGAGAAAGTTATCTCTGGTAGTTTTCGTTGTCCTGTTTGCTTCCTACCATCCATCCGCAGCAGTTAAAAGTACGTTTTGAAATTTGGTTTCTGTGAAGATTTTTTAGCAAACGTGAGAATATAATTTAACAGTTCAAATAACTCCAGAATGATGTCGGGTTTGAAGAAAATTGACAAATCAAAATATCATTTGTATGGCTTCTAACCAAATATTCTCTTTAATTAAATAAGTACAACACACACACGCAAACATACACACTTACACACTCACTCACACGCAAACAAACACACAAACAAACAAACACGTGGAAACACACACACACACACACACACTTACACACACATGTACACACTTTTTCCTAATCTGATGTAACTTAACATCTATGAGCTAAACTCATTAATAATCATTCTCAACTTTTTTACATGTTGTCACATAGGAGTTAATGACACGGTTCTGATGTTGAGGAAATATAAAGGATGTTATTTTCCCCAGTTTACTGGGTCTGGGAGAGTAAAAGATCTAAATGGACAGATAACGTTACATAAATGTTTGCAGTTATGCAAAGAATACAGCTACTACGGCATGGAGGTTTACTTACAATTAAGTATATAGTAACATATACAAACAACTTTTTGAAAAATTCTGTTTCACTTCATTTCATTTAAATTCAATTTATATTTTTGAGAATAATTTTAAATATTCAGGAAGGTAGAACATGCCATTGTGAGAAAAAACTTGACATTTATTCCCGAGTCGAAGAAGATGAATGCGATAGACTCTGCCCCAATGGCTACCCATGTGGCGGCTCGATTTTCGTTTCTTTTTACGAAAGTAACAAGTTCTGTTATAAAAATCAATTGTGTTGAGTGCTAGATTTGTAGAACGCTTCTTACGAGTTGCCTTCAAAATCTATTACAATTCAGCTCGGTCGTATTGATTTCGTGTTAAAATATATTTTGGAAAAATCTTTCACTAATGCATGGCCAGAAGTAGATACAAAATTAAATTACATTTTTTATCAGTTTTTTACTTGTTAACGTGCCAAATTTTAGGCAGGTATGTCATTCAAGTCGGATGTTTTGAAAAGGTGGCATTTGAATCGAAAATAAATATTCCAGGGGTACGTGATCTTGACATATGTCTAAATGTATGTCAAGAAATAAAAAAGTACAGTGCCTTCGCTGTTAGTTATTAAATTTAACAATTTTGTTTTTATTTTAATTTTTTGAGAAAATTTGTTTGGATTTAAAAAGAATCATTAAATGTAACGCCGCCTATGAGACTGGTTGCAAATTTTTTGTAGGTGAAATCTTCAGTTCCTTCATTCAGATCACTTTTAGATAATTTATTCAAAACCTTCATGATCTAGCATGGATTAGTAAAGTTTAATGCACACTTGTCTTGCTTTAATGGAGTGTACACGTATGTACATGGCCAGTGAATGTGGCTCATCTGGCCATTCAAAACATCAACTCTTTAATGATAGGGTACAGCGTAGTGCAACAAAGATGATCGAAGGAGTTGGAAAACTAGAACAAGAGATGGACTGAAAGAATGCGGATTAACAACACTAGAAAGAAGACGCAGAAGAGAGCTGGTTCAGACATATAAGTTAATAACTGGAAAAGAAAAAACACCGTTCACCGAGTTCTTTCAACTGGAAAAAAATGAAAAGATTATGTATGAGGTCATAGATACAAGCTCTTCAAGAAAAAAAATCCAACAAAGCAAAGATTCTTCAGCAGCATGGTGGTAAACGCCTGGAACGAGCTGAGCGATGAAATTGACTCGGTGGATTCAATCAGCAATTTTAAAATCAAGCTAGGAGGGCTAGGATACTAGGACATTTATTTTGTAGAGGTTCTTACACAGATGCTAGTCCACTGAGCCACTTTAAACTTTGTTATTATTATTATATTAGAAATACTACATCACATATGTTTTATTAATCTGTAGCAATTATTTCAATACAATCAATTTCTTACACGGATGCCAGTTAAGTCAATAGTTTATTATTCAGTTGCTGTCATATCAGAAAGTTGAATTTTCAAAAAACTCGTTGCTGGGAATTAAGTCACATTGCATTCTTAAGTGCAAATAAAATGTTATTAGAACATTGAGAGAGTTTTTTTTTATAAATGCCCCGGCGCGTTTCGTGCTTTGAGCGGCTTGATCTCGATGTTGTAATGGCTAAGGGGACGTCCATAATGGATGTCAGGCTTCATGGTGGGATGGGGTCCAAATGTTTGTGAAACTTTGTGAAAAGGGGGAGGGGGGTCAAAATGACGTTAAAAAAGCGTGACATCCCTTATGGACAGCAACTAAGGGGTTCGGCGTGGCTGTTTCAAAGAGATCCTCACCTATTACATGCAAAAAAGCCGCCGAGATGTGTTTAATGTTTCTATCAAAATGTAGATTGATTAGTTATACATTTTTATTAAAAAGATTGCTTTTTATTAATTAGATCATTTTTATTGTTGGCAATGAATTAAAATTGTGCAACCATTACTCCTTTCATTCAATTCGTTTTCTGTTATTAATTGGGATGTATCCCTTGAAGATGTCTGATCTTTTTTTAATTTGTTCTCGTGAGGTATCCTCAACCAACGTGGGTGATTCATGTCTCAGCAACACATGTTGCATGTGACCGAGATCACCTTGCATTTGAACCCAGCAATGCCGGGCATCTTAACAAGCATCTTAACAATTACGTCGCCGTACGGCCAGAAACTTTAAAATTAATTTTGACAAAATTTAGAGCAAAAAATTTAAATAATTTTTTTTGAAATTTGTGATTAATTTTTAGGTTTCTATTTGCTTATGTGCAAATGATTTCACAATCGAGATTCAGAAGAGACCTACTGATTGTATTGGTGAAGACAATTTTAGGCTCTTTGACGGTTAATATAAGCAGTTATTGTTGATTGTTTTAAAAACTTTCCAGTAAAATTAAACACGAATGGTTCTGTTATTAAAGAAACTCATTTATCATTCACAATGAGAAACTACTTCTAGTCCGAGCAAATGTTCAAAAATCGATCGATTTGGAAAAATTATTTTAAATCATGAAAAATAAAATTTGTTTGTGATAAAAGTTTTTTTTATTGTTTCCATCACAACAGTTTCCTTGTCAAGAGATAAGCACACCAACTCAACAATATACCAATACTGCCTGAATGATGAGGTAGAGAGTGTTAGGAGTTATTGTACAACCGCAGTTTGTTTGCCAGGCTGGAGCGGAAAGCATTGCGATCAGAAAGGTGCAGAATTTTATAAAACATAAAAATTTATCTGAACGCTTCTGGTCTTAAAAACTTCAGCGAGTGTCTTAATGAGTTCTTTATATAGTACTTATAATTTTTGCTCAATGACCGTGTGTGCTATTAAACATAGCTCAGTCGATAGAAGTGCCAGGTCTCGCTCTGTTACGTGCGATGATCTGGTTCAAGTACAGTCGGTTCGAAATGCAAAGACTATATAAAACGCCTTGCGTGTGTGGTGCGGTGTGTATGTACAGTACATCGTCTGGTTTGGATGTTACAGCCTTCTTTAATTATAATTATTATAAAATGAATAATTTACAATAAGCAGTACAATCTTTTTAATGGCTTTGTTCGATAGTTGGAAATATTTGGAATTTGGATACCACTTTTATATTGCTAGTAGAGATAACATTATATTAATAATATAAACTACATCTGCTAAACATTTTTTGTAACGAATTATTTCTAGTGACAACTACTGCAACAACAACAACCACAGTCTTCACAACCATATCGCGTGAAAATGATAGTAGAAGAGTTTATATTTTTTTTATATAATTTAACTGAAAGTGTTGAATTTCCAACAATTAGGCGAAAATTTTATAACCAAAAATATACAACTTGTGACAGCTATGAAGATTTTATAGGAATAATCCAAATTTCAGAGATTAATTTTTTATTGCTGGGGCAAAATAACAACTTGAAAAGCAATTTTTTTTAATAATCTTTGTTCCTATTACTTTTAGATTCAACAACTGCAACGCAAACTAAAATTTCAACAGCCTTCACAACTACATCTCACACAAAAAGTTCTGTATTTTTTTTTTGAAGATTTAGAGCCACCGATGATGAAAGTGATTTCAAAATTTTTGTAATTATAAAAGTGATCATTTTATACTCAGTTTTATCTTGTTGCAGAGTGTTTTTTTAATAACTGCTCACATAAGCTAGGAAACATAATTTTAACCCTCTATCGCAGGTAGTTTTTCGAACAAAACTTCGGATGGTTTTCAAATTGCTAACATTTAATTTTATCTGCAATTCAAATTTTACATTAAATAACGCCACGGAATTGCAAGAAAGTTAAGAAGACACTCGTTCGGAGGGTTGAAAAAAAATGTTGGGTTAACTTGAAAAATTGAGATCACAATTATTTTTTCAATAATTATTTCGTTCGTATCAATTTTAATTGTTGAAAATTCAACATTAAATGTATTAATTTGTTACTGCATTTGAATTTTGATTCAACTGAGCGCGCTTAACTTTAACATGTAAGACATAACATAAGATGACATAACAGAAAAAGATTATTCACAGTTTAGAGTCACTCCAGTTGGAACACCGATTTTGCAATGTCGCTTTTAAAAGTATTTGTCGATTCAGCTGAAACTGCACCATTATATAAGCTACTCCGGTGTTTAACAACTCTGTTAACGACAAAGTTATATTTTATTGACCCAGTTTTTTTTTATGAAAATGTTTAGTTTATCTCTGCATATATATTTGTTATGAGAAAAATTAAAAAATCTTGCAGCCGATAAATATTTGCTTTTCCGTAAAAAGTATTTAATTTTGGATCAAGTCTTCTCTTGTTCTACGTGTTTTCATGGTTGTTAAGCCACATTTGAAAAGTCTTTATTCGTATTGCAGGTATCGTAGACCTCTGACCAACTTTGTAGCCCTTTTTGAACCTTCTTAAAAATTGTTTTGTCTTTTTCGAGATAGGGACATCAAAACTGTGCGCAGTGTGGTCTTACTAAGGTATTGTATTACTTTGCTGTTAGAGTTTGTTTTCTGCTCGAAATTGTTCTTTTAATAGTTCCTAGCATTTAATTGGCTTTTAGCAACTTCTAGATTAAGCAACTTTTTGACACTGTCTTGATGGCTTACAATCTTTGCTAATGAATACACCTAAGTCAAGTTCTTCCGTAGTTGACCTATGTTTGTTTCCAGATAGTGTTAGTTGAGCTAGTTGGTTTTTTGCCAAGATGCACACTTTTCAACATTGAAGTGCATCTGATAGCCTACTGACCATTGATATAATTTTCGCAAGTCTATGTATCATCAACAAACTTGGATAACCTAGAAGCTATTTTACTGTCGGTATTTTACTGTACAGGATGAATAGTACTGATTCTTGACTAGTAACATTTTCCCTTTCTGATGAGTCTTCCCGTCTGATCACTGTTTGTCGCCTATCGGATAACCAATTTGTACCCACTTGAGTTTTTTACCTTAATTTCAGCAGACTTCCAACTTTAATGCCAATCTCTTGTGAGTAACTTTGTCAAACGCTCTCGAAAAGCCATGATAAACCAGATCTACTAAGTTTCCTGCATTTAGTTTATCATAAACTTGCAAATAGAAATTGACATATAAAAATTTTACAAATTTTATAAAAGAAAATGAAAGTTTTATACAATTTTTCGACATATTGGCCAAGAAACAGCAATTTTTAGAGAAAATGTATCTACGGCGAGCTCCTCAACTATTTCTGTTATCTCCCACGTTCCAACAATACCGGATGTGACCGACGAAACAGACGTCGAAACACCAGAAAGTGATCCCGTCACTTCATGTGGAGAAAATAATGGAGGATGTGGTGAGGACGTCTGTGTTGAGGTTGGAGATGATGTATTTGATGTCCAAGTCAAGTGCAACCCGCCAGATGAAGAAATATTCAAAGTACCAACAGGTGCCGAGATTTCAAAAATATTCAGTCAGAAATTTTTCTAAAAAATGGTTCAATGCAAGATTGTTATTTTTTGTTTGTTTATTCAAGTTAAACCTATGAGCGACTGGAATTACAAGGGTTGTTTCAATAAAATGCATTCCTCCACGGAGGAGACAATTCGTTCTGTGGAATCCTGTTCTGAATTATGTGATGAAACATTCTACGGAATAAAGGTGGGTGGATAATTTACGATCTTCAATTCCTATTTTTCAGTTAATTTTTTATTCATTGAAATTGAATGGAATTTTTTAATTCAAAAAAATTCAGAATGGTGAGCTTTGCACATGTGCCAACATTGTTGATAACGAAGTTGGTGCCGACAGATGCAATAAAAAATGTTCAGATGGGTTATCGTGCGGAGGAGAATCTTTCTATTCTGTATATGCCAGTAAAGTGTCTGACATCTTTTTGAATCGTCAGTTCAAATTGGCGAGTTAGCTTAGACGGCAGAAGTGCCGTGTTACAATTGCGTTGTTGCAATAGCGTGATGACTTGGTTCGAATGCTGCCTCTCCGAAATCTGAAAAACATCCTTCGCCGTCTGCATGTGATGAGGTGTTTGTTGATACATGCACGTCGTGTCGCGTCGTGTTGTGTAAGGTTCGTTGTGTGGTGTGAGAAAAGTTGGCACAACGAGCAATCATAATGTAAAATTATGACTTAAGCAGCTCTGCGCTAGTCGAGAATGTACCAAAAAAAATTGGTGAATTGTATACTGCCAAGTCTTGAATCATTCACTTGAATTATAAATAATTTACAATTTGTATAACTATTTACTTTTTACAAATTTAAACGAATCAATAGAAAAAGCAAGTAAATCCATAGTGGTTGGATGTTTTAAATACCTTGAACTTGAGCACAAACAAAATGAAAAAGACAAAGCTCATTGTTTGGACAGCTGTAAAGAGCTTGGGTTTCCGTACAGTGGGACCGGAGTGAGTTATGAGGAACAACATTTTTTAAAGATTTGTCATTTAATTACATAAACTGTTTCAAGTATTGTAGTTATATTTAAAAAATTATAAATCAGAAAAACCATATAAAAAGCATTTTGCAAATTTTGATGGATTATTTGTTAATCGTAGAATGAAACATGCCAATGTGGGAGAGATATTGAATTCAAGGACCAGTTGAACAAAGAACAGTGCAAAGAACCTTCTGTGTTTTTTCTTTTATCTGACGGTTCGTGTTTGAATTTTTTTCTTATTTTTGCCAGCATGCCGCCTTTTCATGTTAATCTACCATTTTTAAAAAAAACGTGTAATCTCTCAGTTTCACCAGATTTGGATGTTCGAGGAAAACCGACAAAATACAACTACTGCATGAATGATAGAATAGAAAGTAAGAAAGCTTACTGCCAAACTGGTCTTTGCAAACTTGGCTGGACTGGGGCACTCTGTGATAAGAGAGGTTTGGAATTCTTATTTGAAAAACTCCATTTTTCAATTTAATTAATCTCTTCAATTTTGAATGTTTTTGCACTAAAAAACCAAGCTTATCAGAAGCTCTGAACAATTTCTTAAGAAGCAAATTAACTATTTCTAGACTGCAACACTAGTGACGGAGCATGTGGTGAGGGAATGATTTGCGTACAAGAAATAGTAAATTATGTCACGATTGCTAAGTGCCTATGCAGAGATGGTCTTGCATCTGTCGGCGAATTCGAATGCAAAGGTGAATTCAATACATTATAACATTGTAAGCTTTCATATTTTTTCAAGTTACGTGAGGAAATATCAGTACTTGAAAGTTATTTGCTAAAATTAATACATAAAAAAATAATTTGTGAGTATCTGTAAAATTTTTTGATAAAACAAACTTATAGAGATAGAAACAGTTAAAGGAGAAAAACCAAACTCATACTTTTACCTTATATTTCCAACCATCGCTTTGTTCCTTACATTGTTAGGCCTCTCCGTGTATGCCGTCAGACGTAAATCAAGAAGAGGTAAGAAATTTTTATTTCCAATTCTCTCTTCCAACTTTCTCAGAAGGTCATCGCCCTATGGGAAAATATCATTAAAAAATTTGCTATATAGAAAGGAAAGTTTGTATCTAAACAATTAATTATTGGTTGAAAAAATTAAGAAAGAAAATTTAAGAAATCAAAAATTGGGAAAAAATTTTTATTTACTGTTTTTACAGTTAGCAAACTTGATGTAATTATTAACTAAAAAAATTAAAAGTAGATGACATTAGATTGCGTATTTGTGTTTAAGTACGATGATATTGACAAAACATTTTCATTATTTACTGCAAACAGCAGAACCGCAGCCAGAGCTGATGCAATCTCCAGGTTGATCCAAGTTCAAATATTTCACTCTTCGTGTAATCATTCTATTGTCATTCTCGCTTTTTGCTCTATCGATAAAGTCGACGACAAACACAAAACTCATGTGAAGACCAGAGATTCCATGCATCACACACATGTAACAATCTAGAATCGCCTCGCATTTGATCCCGGTCACTTCGAAAGCAAAATTTATAATAGCATTGTACATAAGTCTGTAACGAAATTTTATGAAAAATAAAATTTTTCCTTTTTTTTCATCTAAGTAGAAAGCGTGGAACCATCAGGTTAGTTCAAAAAGAAAATTATTTTTTGTCTATATATTCAGTCAGTTTTCGATTTTGCAAAATTTTGGGAACATGATGGTGTAAGGGGTCTGGTTCAGATTTACCGCGACCTCAATGAAATGTAAAAATATCCCAGGCTAATAATTTTTTTCTAATAGGTACATACCTATAAAACTTACCATTAGGATGTTTTGAAAAATAAATTAGCAAAGAAGTTTATAATTTTGTATTTAAAATCTAATGACCGATTTTTTCAATTAAACTTATTCATTTTTCACCATGGAAATTGTTTATTAAAAAACTGGTTTATTAAAATTTTAGTTATTATATTTTATTTCAACCTCTTTGCAGAAAGCCAATAAACTATGGATTTATGAAATTATTGAAAAAAAGAAAAAAGATTTTACTACTCGTCGTGCTGTTTTTCATTTTAAAACAAAATTTCCATTAATATAAATAAATAAATTCTGTTATTGGGTCTCAATGGAAAACTTTTCCTCTAAATATTCGTAAAAAATTACATAATTCTAAAAATTTACTTGAAAATAAAATAAATTCGCAACTGGAATATTTTGGTTTTTTTTCAAGTCACAAAAAATAGATTGAGAAAATAAAACACTTTACTTTAGAATGTCTGTAAATTTTTCAACAAAGTTTAATGTAGTTAGCAGTAAATATTTATAATCAGCTCAGTTAAGCTTAATCATATGGATTAAAGAGGCGAAACGTTGTAGGTTCATGTATTCTTGGATTATCTGATACATTAATGTTCTTTACACATGTAGTCCAATCATTATTGACAAAGTTGTCACCATGGTTAGTTTTCCACCTCCATTCATCCGTTTGCATCAAGACCGGGGCTTCATGAACCACGGGTAAGTTGAACCAGTTGGGTAAGTTCACTTATTTAAAACGAATATACCGTTAGGCGTTTTATAATTATTAATGCGTAAAGAGCCAGCCAAGTTAATTAATCTGTCATGTTTATGTCTGCAAATCGTCAAGTAAATGTCGCTTATGTGGTTTTGCCATTTTTGAGTAATTTTCAGTCGTTGACGTTATTGTTCTTTTAAAATGCAATTGCAAAAGAGTGAATAACTTTACGATACATATTTCTGTAGTGTTTGAATCCAGTAAAACGGCACGTACTTCATTTCAGGCCTTGGTGACATGTTAATGAGGCTACATTTGAAATACTATGATCACTATTGTTGAGGCGTATTATATCAAGTTATTAGGTTAGGGGCAAGTTGAATCGTATTCATATTAGTCCAAAGTTTAAAAGTGCGTTTGTTTTTTAAGCAGGATCTATCAGAATGGTCAGCAGTATTTTTAATGAAACTCAGTAAAACATCAGTTTTTACACGGAAAAACTCTACTTTAAGAGAAAAATTGACAAAAGAATCCACGTTAAAAGGAAAAAAATTTGCCACCAGCCTTATTTTGGCCAACAAGCCTCGGTCTCCCATACCGTGCTATACAAATTCTCTATAAACTGCAACAAGTGCTGAAGATGATTGAATCTAAAATCTAAAATCTAGAGAATTAATTAGAAAACTATATATTTCATAAATTACTGCATATATACATACATAAATATATATATAAGATATAATTTATAACCAAAAAAATTAACGTTTGAGGGACAACTTTGGTGGTTTTGCTGAAATTGCTCACAAATTTTAAATTTTTCTCTTTTACCATAATTTAGAACGGATGAACAGGTTGAACATTCAACTGTTGAAAAAGTTTGTGAATATTGTCGGTGTGAAAAAAAATTGGTTAGAAACGCAATGGAGCGTGTTATGTAGATAAGTAAGACATTGCTACTTCAAGTTGGGCCGGCAGCGATATGTCATACATGAACATAAATTTTGAATTAAACTATAGATCTTTCGTACACGAAATAAAATAGTTCGTACATAAATTCTAATCTATCCTAGGAAACAAGTGAATACAAATTTTGGGTAGGTCGATTTATTTGCATTTCTTAGCTAACAATGCCGCAGATTCACACAGAAATAACAATTAATTGATAGCTTACCTAACCTACTGTTTTATAGCAGGATGAATGCTGGTACCACTGGCATGCTTGTTATGAGTTTGTCCGCATTTGAGCAGCAGTTTGTGGCTTGATTTGCTGCTAGACAGTAAAACACAGGTAACAATTTATTATTTTAATTATTTAGAAAATGTTTTTAAACATTTATATGCCTGAAAAATTCGGAAATGTATGATTTATTCTAAAGGATATAAAACTTGAAATTATAACTGTTATGTAAGAGAAGTATGATTTATTTTAAAAGATATAAAACTTGAAATTATAACTGTTATAACCAGCAAAAGAGATAATGACAAAAAAGTAAAAATCTTATAAAGTAGAATTAAGTTTAATCAGCATGTCTGTTGGCTGATTGATTTTAAAATAATGTACCTTTGTTGTGCTGCGAGATGGTCTAGCGGTTACGGAACCTGGTCTAGTTGTTGCAGCAACCAGTTGCGAATGCGAATGATATATAACCCGCGATATGTATGTGTCGGGTATTCTCGACGCGAAACGTGATGTTGTCGCTGTCTATATCTGGAGATTTTATTGCGACAGTCAGTTTTATAATAGAATAAATAACGAAAAACTGAAATTTATAATCAGTATATTGATTTACAGAACACATAAAACATACACTTATAGAAATTCTAAATAAAAATTTGTAACTTTCAACATTGCAGGCTAGCTAATCTCAATTTTTTCATGACGAAATGCCAAATTTGTTTTTAACCATTTTGAAATTTCTAAAATGAAATTTTCTAATTGTTTTGTTTAATTTTGTAGTTTTTAGTCACGAAAAAAATGCCTAGAATGTCTAACCACATGTTGCTGGTTGCTGCGATTTTGTTCGGAATTATTGGGAAGAAAAATATTGCTTCAGGTATGCCACGCCAACACCTAAAATTTCAAACTTCAAACCGTCATTCAATTTTTTAAATAACATTTTATTTAAAAAAAAGATTTTTTGGTATGTTGTTCAAACAAATTTAGTTCAAAAGTTTTTAATTTTCACAATTTTCCAGGACAAAATCCGGGTTGTAACAGCGATGAATGCAGCTTGATTGGTTTGTAATTTTTTCAACAAAAATTTTAATCATTATTTTTACAAACTACAAAAGAATATTCGTTTTGTGTTAATTTTTTCATGGCAATAATCTCAAGTTTTACTGGTCAATTCAAGATTTTCATGTCATGAAATTAAAATAAAAGATTTTTTTTTATTTAAAGCTATTACGTTTTCGTTTGTAAAAAATTTTTGTTTTGTAAAACGGGAATATTTAAACTTTTCTGATTTCAGACACAAACAGTTATCATTTTAAACTATGAACCATAATTCAATTATTTTTTGGATGCGGCGCTCCTATAATAATGAACTAAGCTGGTGTCCTTTTAACAGAGTCGCGTAGTAGGCAATCTCCTGAACATAAAAATATATAATTTGGTGATAGAAATTCTGACGTTTTTGATATATATAGTATCATGTTTTGACGAATAATAAGTTATCTAAATCCGCACCTGATTCGTTCATTTAGGAAAGGACGATCCTTTTTCCCTTTTTTGATTAAATATTCAACAAAACATTTTTATTTTGAATAGAATAATTCTCAAAAAAATTTTGCCAAAAAATATTAAAATTAAAGCTATTAAATATTTAAGCTATGAAAGTGAAAACCAGCCTGGATGAATCCGTCGACCCCTGTCAAGACTTCTATGCCTACGCCTGTGGCTCCTGGATTAAAAACGCTACCATACCTGAAGACAGCTACAAAGTCGATCGATTCAATGAGATGAATGACCTGACTGAAAATAGACTCAAAGGTCATTTATGAGATGCCTGGCAGTACGGTGGTGTAATGGTGGAGTTTCTTGGCATGGCTGTTGCAGTGGTTGGTTTGAATGCGAAGTAATCTTCCCCGCCTGTCACATCATGCATTTTGATAGTAAAATTAGTAAGAGTAGTAGTAGTAGTAGTAGTAGTAGTAGTAGTAGTAGTAGTAGTAGTAGTAATTGTAGTAGCAGTAGCAGTAGTAGCAGAGTAGCAGTAGTTGTAGTATTAGCAATATGAAAGTTATTATTAATTAATTAATTAATTAATTAATTATTATTTTATCTGTTTGCAGCACTTTTGAGCACAACGAACCCAAGTGACATAACCAGCGTGTTGAACGCAAAGAAGTTTTATAAATCCTGTCTTAATCAAAGTGGACGTTTTACATTATTTTTATTTATTTTTCTAAAACTTTTAAAAATAATTTCAATTAACAAAAATTTAATTTTAAATATTGAAACATTCAAACAATCTTTGACATAATAATAGCATTGTCTTAATTCTAATGGCTTCAAAAGGCTACTAAAACTAACCTAAAAACTTTGGTTAAAATGTCAACAAAACTCCCGCAGATCAAATCGCGAGCGAGGGTATCAAACCATTCAAAGACATCATCGACAGTTTCGGCGGATGTCCGGCTCTGAACGCTGAAAAGTTTGACGAAAGTAGATGGATGTTGGAAGATGTAGTTTCAAGAATCCAAAAAACTCTTATTTATGACACGATTCTCAAGGGTATTCTGGTACCCGATAGAGAAAATTCTGATATCATACTCTTTAGCGTTAGTTCATTTTTGTCGAAGGGTTTACAATTTTGAAAATTCTAGTTTTTCCAACAACATAGATTGACGATATGTTTGTTCATCTGTATATCGTAGTCTTTCAAGCTTTTCTTCGAAACACTTCCAGCATTTTTCTTAAGATAAAAAACTTAGTTTGGTAACGTTCTTATGAGGAACAAAACTTTAAAACACTAGATATCATATTTAATTTTGCTCACAAACCAGAATCTTTTTTTTAAAATGCTTTTCTAAAACAATTTCAACTCTTCAAAAATGAAGAAACATTCTATTATTCGCTTAACCAAACATAACCCCTCATTCAGTTGGGTCAGGTTAATTTCCTACTGACGAAAGCGCAATATTCTGACTCGAACACAAAATACATAGATGCGTACTTCAACTACATGGTCGGTGTAATGCAGGCCATCAGTGACAACCCACAAACTGTGCAGCAAGATATGTCGGCAGTCCTCAATCTCGAGAAGAAACTCGTTCAGGTCGAAAAGTTTTTTTATTTTAACCTGTAAGAATTTAGACACATAAATTTGACAAATGCCACTTCTCAACAGTTTTTTAAGAATACGGACGAAACGTCAAAAAAAGAAGCCTATAACAAAATTCTTTACAAAAATCTTGACAGCACAAAGGTTATTGTTTTACGGAACTTTTAAAAATGTATCCATAAATTGAAGTTTGTGATGAAACAATCTCTGTTAACAACAATAAAAAAATATATGTTCATTTGCAGTTTAACTGGAAGTTGTACCTGAACAACATAATTCCCAACTATTTTGTTGACGATACGCCAATTGTGACCACTGAAAAAGAATATCTGATTGAAATGGCTAATATTGTTCAGACTACACCGAAAAGGTGATCGTCTGAGTTTTTTATATAAAGAATTAGTTAATCACATGAATCCCGAGTTAAAATTGCATGCATTGTTTTTTAACTTATATTTTGTTACATTTCAATTGTTTTATTTTTACTATAAACGATCGTTTCCTTGTTCCAACTTTTTCTTAACTCGTGTTAAACATTCTTTTGCTGAACTGACATTTGCTTTTTCTGGTCTTTTTCTTTGGAACTCTTAACCTCCTTCTTTGACTACTTTTCCATCACTTACGAAGTTCAGAGCGGATCTCAAGACCCATCTGTTTGCAAAATTCATTAAGGAGCGCTGTTAAACATCGCGGAAATAGCGTTTTTTATACTAATTGATTGATTGATTGACTGACTGACTGATTGATTGACTGACTGACTGATTGGCTGACTGACTGACTGATTGATTGATTGATTGATTGATTATTGATTGATTGATTGATTGATTGATTGATTGATTGATTGATTGATTGATTGATTGATTGATTGATTGATTGATTGATTGATTGATTGATTGATTGATTGATTGATTGATTGATTGATTGATTGATTGATTGATTGATTGATTGATTGATTGATTGATTGATTGATTGATTGATTGATTGATTGATTGATTGATTGATTGATTGATTGATTGATTGATTGATTGATTGATTGATTGATTGATTGATTGATTGATTGATTGATTGATTGATTGATTGATTGATTGATTGATTGATTGATTGATTGATTGATTGATTGATTGATTGATTGATTGATTGATTGATTGATTGATTGATATACAACTATTTAGAAAAATTTTAGTATAACTAATTATTTTTATCTCTGAAAATGTTTTTATAAAAAATTTTTCCTTGTTTAATTTTATTTCCAATTTCGTTACCCAGGACTTTAGCAAATTTTGTAATCTGGTCAGTTGTTCGGAGAATGTTCAATAACTTCTTCCTACCTGCTCAGCTGAAAGCCCACTACAACACCTTCATAACTGTCATGACTGTTAGTGTCCCATTCCGACCATACCAACTCACTCTTTTCCTTCCTTATTAACTCTCATTCAACTATCGCAGTGACAATTGTAGACGTTTAAAAATAAAATAAAAAATTTAGAAACAGTTTGTCAGAACTATCATTCTTCGTTTGCTAGAAAAACGAAAATATTTAGCATAACAACAAACGGTAGCACAAAGTCGTAACCTTAGTCGAAACAAACCTTGGAAATTTATTTCCATTAGGGACAGCAGAAGCAACTTTTTGAGCTTTAGTAAAGTGAATTTCTCCACAGAGAAAGCAGTTTTAAGTAAAGAAAAAAAGGGATTGAGGAAATAACGCAAAAGCTGCATTTTTTTACCAACGTGTATAATCGAATCATGTTTTTTTGATTTTTCAACATTGTTAAAATTTGCCTGTGACAATTTTTACCACAATTTATGAATACATATTTTTTATTATCAAACATTTATTATGACCATCTGTTGTGTGTTTCAAAATAACGCAGGGAGCTATAAAAGAGGTGCCGATTGACACTCAGTGCGAGCAGATGACAGCCAAATATTTCGGAGAACCTCTCAGTAGAATTTACGTTGAAAAATATATCCAGCAAGACATTATGGATTTAGTACGTTACATCAACGAATAACTTTTTTTTCCATTTTATACGCAATAATTTCCAATGGCGAAACAGGTGATTGACATGGTCGATAGGATGGTATATGAATTCAAAAACCTGATCAGAAGCAACAAATGGATGGATGACTCAACTAAGGAAGAAGCACTTGTAAAAGTACGTGAAAGTTAGGGCATGGCATGATATAATATCATATGGTATCATATATATCAAGGGATATAGTATCATTTTTACTGTTGATACTATTTTTAGTTGAATTTAATGAGCCGTAAAGTTGGCTATCCCGACTATCTCTTCAACAATACTTTCCTGGACTCTACTTATGGAAAAGTTAGTCTAATTTTTCTAGATTTTTTTTATTTCATATATAAAACATTGAAAAAAGCAAATCCGTTTATTACTTCATTGTTTTTTCATGTACAATTTCAAATTTTAATGTTTTCATCGCACTTTATTACGAAATAAATAAAGGTTTACATAAGCCACACGACACCACCAAAGCCCAACATAAGTATTTTGGTTCGCCTGGATTTTTAACTAAATTACTCATTTTTTAACAAAAAAATAAACATAAAGAGAATATGACAAAATTTTTTAAAACCGAGATTACGAATGACACTTGTAAGAATTTGATCCAAAAAAAACCTGAAAATCAGATGCAGATCGATGAAAATCAGCACACCAAAAACATGCTCAACGTACTAAAATATAGTTTCGAGCATGTCAAGAATATGATTTTCAAACCATACGACAAATCTTTGTAAGATTTTTTAATATTTTTTAGGATTTTACCGATATTTTGTTATTCTTGTAACAGAATGGTACGGTGTTAGTTTACACCTATGTGCTAATTTTTTCCACATCTTTCAAAAATCATCTCCGTAAATTTTCCAAGTGGAGCGCCCTGGTAGCCTATTGGTTAAGGTTGCCTGGTGCTGTCTCCTAGTGCATGCAGTGACCGAGTTCGAATACGACAAAAGGATCCTCGTCTATCGCATACCTCGTGTGTGATGCCTCGTTTAGCACTTATTCACTTATTATTGATGTTTGTGTGTTGTTAATTCTTCTGAACCTAGGATGAGTGCAATGAACCATTATCCATTTCTAAAACTTTCTATCCTATAAAAAGTTTCAACAACGATTTTTTTAAATGGAGTTACTTATTTTACTTAACTGAATGAGTTTGTTTTGCAGTTTGCATCTCTAGTTTGGCTACCCATTGGCCAATATATTTTAATTTGAATTTCTGGCAATATTTTTTGGGAAAAAATTGTTTTTACAAGAATTTTTATAGTTCACGTTTCAACTTGAAACATTTTGGCCATTCGTAAATAAATTTCTAAGAAATGTATTCATTTTATTTAAATTTTGAAAATTGTTTTTCAATAGGTGGTCTCTGGATCCAATCAAAGTGGCCGCTCAATACAGTTCTCAGACAAATGATATAGGTGCGCAGTTAGGAAATAACATTCAGCATGATTTTGTGGTAATGATATATAAGGGCAGCGCGTTGGTGTAACGGTAAAGTGCCTGGCACAACTGTTGCAATGACCGAATTCGATTGCAAGGAGATCCCCGCCTGCACACTTCAATGTGTCAATGATGCGTGGTCTCACGCTCATTCGCACTGCACTGCTGCGTGTTTCTTGTTGATGTCTTTGAAAAATATTGAAAAGAGAATTGCAATGATATTAAATTAATAACTTTTGGTTAATAATTATCTGATTGCTTTGAAATTTATAAGAAAAATTTTTAGACAGCTGTTGAAAAAAATGGTTGTTAATTTATTTCAGCGTTCTCTGTTGCCATAATGCAACAACCAGCCTTCAACAAGAACTATCCAAAGTATCTAAACTTCTTTTTTTGGAGCAGAACAGTTTTTCATTTAAATGTTTTACTGATCCATTGATTTTATTTCGCTTCGTTCTACCAGACCAATGAACTATGGCGCTTTCGGAATGTTTATAGGCCACGAAATAAGCCATGGATTCGACATCTCAGGTTTGAAAATAAATATTCCACCATGTAAACACTTAGAGCTTAGAGGGGCAAATGTTCTGTCCTTGGCAGGGGTGGAGTGGAAACCCCTAACTAATTATTATTTTAATTATGATTTTAGTTATAATTGTAGTTACTATTATTTCAGTTATTATTTTCAAATGATCAAATGGTTTTTAACTACCAGAGAACTTTTGCCTTGCTTATTTTAAACTTTCACTAACCTGTTTAACATCTTTTGTTCATATAAATTTAAAAAAAGAGAAAGAATTGTATTATTGGAAACTTATTTTGTGAAAACTTTGGAATGAGTCCACCTACTAAGCTTTAAATCCAACAATTATTTTGTTATATAAAAAAATGATTAATATAGACATCAACATTTTTTAAAATGTTGTCCGCGAATTATAGCCAACCAAATCGTCAGTGTTTTTTTCATTTCAGGTAAGTTGTACGACGGGTATGGAAACATGAGGAACTGGTGGAGTAACAGCAGTGATGTCCTCTACAAGGAGAAAACCGACTGTTTGGTCAGGAAGTACAACAATTTCTGGATTAAGCAAATTGGCGAATACGTAAATCATTCATTTTTAATTTTTCTAAAATTTCCTTGTAATAATTACTGTTATAAAGCTATTCGACTTATAAAAGATGAATTGAAACAAAAGCTGTTCGACTTATAAAAAATGAATTGGAGCATTCTTCAATGAATTAACTGATGAAGTTGATAGTATAAGAAGTGCATTAAAACTGTACTTGAATACCTGTCGATTCCTAAAAATTTTTTACAAATATTTTAACCTGTTAACTAATTTTTGTCTTCAGTTGAACGGTGAATCAACTCTTGGAGAAAACATCGCCGACTTCGTTGGACTACAGATAGCTTACCAGGTAGAATTTCATAAAAAAATTATCATTTTTAATTTCTTTGATGACAAAATGTTGAACTAACCTCCAACAGACTTATCGTAACTCAATGAAGAAGGGGGACTCAGCAAAGGAAAAGTTACCTGGACTTCAATTCACTTCGGATCAGTTGTTCTTCATCAGTTTTGCCCAGGTTGACAGACACTATGATATCATTCAATGATACTATCATCTTCATTCAGTAATACTTCCATCCTTTTTTAATTAATAATAATGAGGATGATATCATTCAATCATACTACCATCTTCTTCATTCGGTGACACTATCATTCTTTTCTTTACTTAATGAGGATGATATCATTCAATGATACTACCATCTTTTTCATTTGGTGGCACTATCATTCTTTTCTTTACTTAATGAGGATGATATCATTCAATGATACTATAATTTTATCATAGCCTAATGGTAGTTCCGCTCAGGTTGACAGACACTAAGATATCTTACAATTATACTATCATCTTCTTCATTCAATGATACTATCATTTTTTTCATAGCTTAATGGTAGTGACGAGGATATCATTTAATGATAATCATTTTTTCAAATTAATAAATGTGATGTTTTCATTTAATGATGCTATCATCCTTTTCATTTCATATCTATGATGAAGGTTTCACTCAATGATACTATCTTGCTATGATATAAAAATAATTTAAATACAATATTTATAATCATGTTATAATTTTCCGTTGGATAGTTTTGGTGCGAGAAGATGTCAAATGAAGGATTTCAGCTCATGAAAAGAGATGATCACAGCCCAAATATTGCAAGGTAGAAGCCAATTTTTTCCAAACTGGTTTAAAGTTTCATTTGCAATGACGTCAAAATAGGTTTTTCTCTCTCTTATTTTTTATTTATTTATATGATATTTTTTAAAACTTTGAAAAACAGAGTCACTGTGCCTTTGCAGAACTTTGAAAAGTTCGCGTTCGTATTTAACTGCCCTAAGACAAGCCCAATGAATTCTCCAGATAAATGTAAAATCTACTGAATCGCGGAAACTATGGAAAAAAGTTGATAAAAAGATTTCTTGTAAACGATCAGAAAAAACTTTAGTAGTATTTAGTATTTTAATAGAATTTAAACTACCGGTTAAAATTATTTTTAAAACATTTTCAAGATTATTAACTAAAAAAATTTTAACTCTCTTTCTTAGCACTAAATAGACTAATCTTAATGTAGATTTTATGTTTTAACATGGCTTCATTGTTCTAACTTACAAGTTAATTTATTAAATAAAACTTAATGACGAGCATCATAAAATTTTCTGTACATTTGAAACTTTTACAATCATTTGACCGCTGCTGTTACCTAGGCGATAAGCATCACCATATAATCGATTTTTAAGATATATTTTCGTTTAAGACACTTTTAATGAACTTAATCTATCTATCTTATAATCCTTTTCACTTTTTCAAAAATTTTTGGTTCCTAGTGGATACTTTTACACTAAACCTTTTTAGGTCTCTGTTCTCTAGAGTTTAAAATTGCAATCTTCGGCCAAATCTTCATCATTCACAATGTTCTGAATAGATTTCAAGGCTTATTAGTTTGTAAAGTTAGTTGAAAAAAACAGAGACAAAACAAAAAAGACTTTATTGAAGCTAGAATGATTGCAACATAGAAGCCAAAACACAACAATACTGCAGTATAAATTTGATCATATAAACAACAAGTGTAGCAATAAGCCGAAGAATTAGATGTGACAGCATCGTTTTGATGTTGTAGTATTTGTACTATAATAGTTTTACTACCGATTAAAATAGTAAAATAAAAATAATAATACTTATTTTAATAATAATAATAATCAAATAAATAATAATTATATTGATAATACAATTTTTAAAAGTATTAACGAAAGCTATCTTCGTCTTTATCATCATCACAATAACCACCTTCGTCATCATCATCAACAACAACATGCTAAATTAGCAATGAATTTGTCATCATTGTTACACAACATTACCATCACTGTGATTATATCTTCTTCATAATCATCATCAGTTACATCATCTATACTATCATCACCATCATCGTCGTCGTCATCATCATCACCATCATCATCATCATCGTCGTCATCATCATCACCACCATCATCACCATAATTGTTATCATCATCTGCATCTGTAGACTTGGATGGATTTGAGGCAAGTCCGACATTTGACATAACAGCACCAGTGGTATTTACACTCGCACCTGCATTTGTGATGACGATGATGATGAGGAAGATGACGACGATGATGAGGAAGATGACGATGATGATGAGGACGATGATGATGAGGAAGATGACGACGATGATGAGGAAGATGACGATGATGATGAGGAAGATGACGATGATGATGAGGAAGATGACGACGATGATGAGGAAAATGACGATTATGATGAGGAAGATGACGATGATGATGAGGAAGAAGAAGAAGATGATGATGATGATTATAAAGAAGATGATGATGATTATAAAGAAGAAATAAATAGATAGTGATAATGATAATAGATGGTGATAATGATAATGATAAAAAAGATGATGATGATGATGATGATGATAGTGATGGTAGTGGTGACGACGACGACGATGATGATAAAAACAATTTAAAACAGAGATAGATTAATGATAACAAAGCAAATAACAATCTCGTTATCAATCTTTCGTTAATTATATCAGTATTTCAATTCACCAGCCGACCAATTAAAAAGCAATCCGTTCATTCAACCAATTAATCAATTAATCAATTAACTATTCATCTAGCCAGCCATCTATTTATCCAACAAACCAACCAAACAACCAGCCTATTCATCCAACCAACCAACCAACTAACCAACCAACCACACAACCAATCAACCAACCATACAACCAATCAACCAACCTATATTTGACCTCTTGAACTTCGACCGTGTAACCCCTGCCACAACACATTGACCTGCAACCTTTCGTCCCGGTACTGTCTACATCACACACTCTTTGAGGGAAAAATGGGGAAATGAATTTTCACCCCTTTACTAATGTGCCTTCACTAATAACTCTCACTCACAAAATGCGTGTGTGTGTGTGTGTTATTGATAGCTCTGTAAAATATTAAACTTAAATTAAAAATATCAATGATTAAAATAATAGGAAATATTATTATTAGAGTTATAATTATAATTATTATTCGTCCCTACCTTCCCTCGGTCCCAACGGATCCCACGCTGACATCCGGAGAGCAGTAGTCCGGAGATATTGTCGAGAAGATGAGCTCGTCTTCGTCCACGTATTTCCGAGTTGGTAGGACGGAGACTAACCTATTCAAAGTTGTGTTTGTGTTTCTATTTTTGTATATAAAAAAAAAATAACAAAGAAAAAATTAGATTAAATAAAAATGAGAAAAATAAAACGCTAGATTAATGATGGTGCAGTACTTTTCAGAAGAGAGCTGGGCTAAATAGTCGAAGTTATAGCAGTTTTGGTGTTGTAGATACCGGGTTTGATAGCAAGCAAATCCGCATGCATCGCCACAATGCAATGTGTAAGGATTGTGTGAAGATTGTGTGAGGATTGTGTGAGGATTGTGTGAGGATTGTGTGAGGATTGTGTGAGGATTGTGTAAGGATTGTGTGAGGATTGTGTGAGGATTGTGTGAGGATTGTGTGATGATTGTGTGAGGATTGTGTGAAGATTGTGTGAAGATTGTGTGAGGATTGTGTAAGGATTGTGAGAGGATTGTGTGAGGATTGTGTGAGGATTGTGTGAGGATTGTGTGAAGATTGTGTGAAGATTGTGTGAGGATTGTGTGAGGATTGTGTGAGGATTGTGTGAGGATTGTGTGAAGATTGTGTGAGGATTGTGTGAGGATTGTGTGAGGATTGTGTGAGGATTGTGTGAGGATTGTGTGAGGATTGTGTGAGGATTGTGTGAGGATTGTGTGAGGATTGTGTGAGGATTGTGTGAGGATTGTGTGAGGATTGTAGTTACGTGTGTGTTAACATGCGTGTTGTAAATAACTCTAGAAATCACCATTAACCATTTAATTAATACATTTTGTCGTGATTATAATTGATTTTTTCTTAAATAATTCTTAAAGGTTTTAACGACTTATACACACTTAACTACTACACTGTAAATTATTTGTGAAAGCCTCTATAAATAGCTATTTGTAGAGACCCATCCAACGCTACCAACGTGCCAATGATTTCCTAGTAAAAAAAGATGCTTGCAATCTCCGTTTTTGCTTTACTGATTTTTTTCCAAAGAAAAATTTCATCCAGACAAATGCTGTTTTCAGGTAAGATTATGTTAAGATTATATTATAATTTATGGAGAAGACCCTTCATTGGAGGGAGACCTTTTCAAACTCGACCCTGGTCTTTATAGGTATGATAGTCCTATGTAAAAATTAATCACCTCCTCTTTCTCATCCGCTTGTCCAATTTCATGTTGACTTCGACAGAGGAGAAATATTTTTCTGCAGCTTCAAACCAATGGCCTAATGATGATGATGATGATGATGATGATGATGATGATGGTGATGATGATGATGGTGATGGTGATGATGATGGTGGTGATGATTGGGATGATAGTGATGACGATGATGGTGATGATGACGATGATGATGATGATGATGACGATGATGGTGATGATGATGACGATATAACGATGATGATGATGGTTATAGTTATGGTGATGATGATGATGGTGATGATGCTGATGATGATGACGATATAACGATGATGATGATGGTTATAGTTATGGTGATAATGGTGATGATGGTGATGATGGTGATGATGATGATGATGACGATGATCAACCTTGGCATTCGGCAGAGCGTACCAGCAAGTTTTAAGGGAACAACTCCCGGAAACGCCATGGCACTTGCACGTGACTGCCAGACTCTCTGATGTCAACTTAAAAGTTTTAATTCATGTGGCGCATTATTTTAACAGTTTTTGTTTTGTTCAATGATCATCATCCAGCTATCAATTTTATTTGATCTCTTTCCCAATGTGGAAAAGTTCAACACTTCAACAAATCAAGCAAAATAATTGCATAAAATAATTATTATCACAATCATGTTAAATAAAATACAAATAAATAGAAATAATTATATCTGGTGATCAAATGTCATAAAAAAAACAATTAGCTCGGCTAAACAATCAGTTTAATTAATCTATCAATTCATCATCGATGAATAGAAAGATTGAATTTAATTAATCACACACATCAACTAAACAATTAATTCAATTAATAACTTCTTTAAAATAATATAACCAGCCAGGGCAAAATCCATTTCATCATTTGTCAAACTTGTGACAAACAACAACTAACAAACAACAATTAACAAACAACAGACAACAATTAACAAACAAACAAACGAACGAACGAACAAACAAACAAACAACAAACTATCCTACTAGCAAATACACACCTAAATATACATACAAACAAAACACGCACGCACGCATACAACACAACAACTCACACACACACATAAATCACACATACACACACACACAGAACTCACACAACACACACACACAGACAGACAAAACCACCACCCACCAACCTT